TCTGTGTGTTTGTGTGTGTGTGTGTGTGTGTGTGTGTGTGTGTGTGTGTGTGTGTGTGTGTGTGTGTGAGTATACATCGGTGGAGGGAAGGGAATGCTGATTTTCAAAATAAGCTTGTAGGATTATTTTTATTTCCTCAAGTATGTACTCTTATAATTTTGATAAAAACAAAACCTCAAAATTAAAAGAAAATAATCCTTTTGTGACAGATTATTTTGAAGCATTGAAGTCTATCATTCTCTTATCCAGTGCCTGCATCTGCATCTTTCATGTGTACAGAGGTATGCAGACAGACACACACACATACACACATTCTTCAATAGGAAAATAAATGAGTTTCAGCAGTAATTTAATTTATAGGTTTTTAATTTTGCTGAGATCAAGTTATATCTTGTCTTAATAAGTCGATATTGTGATTTTATGTTTTCATACAGTGGAACTGTGTTTTTAATTTCATCCTTTATCCACAAAAGCATTTAGCTTAAGGGTCACTAAAAATTAGAAAAAATACATAATCCAATTTAAATGTTACATGACTTTTGGGGAGGATGCATATGCAATTTGATAATTTTTCAGTCCAGTTTACTATTTAACACTTTCAACAGTTAAAAGCTTAGAAATCTATTTCTTAATGTTTGGACTGTGGCTCTTCTAGTGTTCTAAAATTGATTATAAAATTAAAATAAATTATATATATTTATAGTTTTCTGGAGTGCTGCACATTGCTTAAGATTTTGAATTGTTCAACATTTACTAGGTAGTTTAAAGGGAGATTTACCTAGTGTATAGAAGTGTAATTCAATCCGACAATAAGAAGAACATAAAGAACCCTGCAGAGACAGCACACCCTGTGAGATTTTGCTCACTAAATTTGTGCCAGTGAGGCATTTCAGGTGTCCTCCACTATATTTATAGCTACTTGTAAGTTATCTATCTTTGTGTGTGTGTAGATGTAAATTGTCAGTGGGTGCTCTCTTGTTTGACCTATGCAGCAGGAAAATGTGAAATCAGCAATAAAGGACTTGATTTATTTCTAGTTGTAACCCTTCCTTTCCTACGTTGCACCAGGTTTGGGTACAATCAAAACTGCTTGTGGACAATTACAATTGTATTTGGCATCCTTGACTAGACTTGTTTGTTTACACTAAGTCACTCAACCCTCTCCTTTCCTTGTGGGCCACTCACATGTCTTCTGTGTCAGTGTATAGCATTACTTGAGTTTAAAATGAGTTCATATTATATATATAAAAAGGAAAGAATACAATAGTAACCTAAAAAATAATATAAATACTATTAAAATATGTGTGAAAGTATTGATTTCTATTAATATAACAAGTAAAAAATGAAAAAAAACCAGAAGAGGAAAAATAGAAATGAGACAAAATATAACTGGTTGTTGATGACTAACAATGAGAAATTCCAGGAGAAATAAGATCAAACAAAGTTTTGTTTTGTTTTGAGAAAGATATAAAAGTGTAGTATTTGGACATGAACTATATCTTTTTTCAATTTACTCCTTGACACCTGTGTGCTGGTATCACCGCAGAAATAGATTATCATGGGAATGAGTTGCTTGCTCTGATTTGTCAAGATAAATGAAACATCCATGAAAATAAAACATGTTACAGTATTTTTATGCTTCTATAATTCTGTTATGGGAACAGATTATTTGCAAAAGATTCTATGACGGGAGATGGAATTGGCAGTGACGTGGCCATTGTCTTAGTCTGTTCAGGCTGCTATAACAATATACCACAGTCTGGGTGGTTTATAAGTAACAGAAATTTATTTCTCACAGTTCTGGATCCTGGATGTCTAGGATCATGGCACCAGAATTGGTGGGGTTAGGGCTGCTTCTGAGTCGCGGACTTCTTGATGTGTCCTCATAGGATGGAAGGGGCCAGGAATCTCTCTGGAGTCTCTTTTACAAGGCACTAATTATAGTTATAAGACTCTAATCCCAGTCATGAGGACTCCATCCTCATGGCTTAAGCACTTCTCAAAGCCCCACCTCCTAATTGTATCATCTTTGGGGGTTAGGATTTCAACATATGAATTTTGGGGGGATATTTTCAGACCATAGCAGCCAGCTAATACTGAAACAAAAAGCCCAAGAGTTTGCCTAGTAGGGTAATATGCATGGCAAGCTGTAACTATATGCTTTTTATTATTTAGCTCTTCATTTTATTTAACACATATTTTTTATTTCTGTAGAATCTTGAGATCATCACATGGTAGATATCTGGGGAATTCCTGGAAACCTCTGATTGATTTGTCCTTCATTTATTTTTTAAAAAATAATTTATTGAGTGTCAATTTCTATAACATAAAATTAGCCATTTGGAAGTAAACAATTTAGTGCCTTCACAATATGGTATAACCACCCCATCTATCTCATTTCAAAACATTTCCGTCACTCCAAAGTAAAACCCTTTACCCATTAAGCAGTTTCTCCCCAGCCCTCTTCCCACCAGCCACTGGCAGCCACCAATCTGCATTCAGTCTCTATGGATTTATCTATTCTGGATATTTCATAGAAAATCACCTCTCCTAAATTTTTCTTGTCCTTATTTGTAGTCACCTTCTCCCCCACCTTCAGTTCAGGGCAAACACTGATCTCATTTTGTTTGTATAATTTTGCCTTTTCACTTGTATATGATATGAATGAAATCATAAAATAGGTTGCCTTATCAATCTGGCTTCTGTCACTTAGAATACTACATTTGAAATTCATCCGTATTATTCTGTGTAACAGTAGTTCATTCCATTTTATTGTAGAAAGCTGTTGGATGCATTTACCAAAGTTTGTTATCCGTTCACTATTGGGAGGGAATTTGGCTTGTTTTCAGGTTTTCACGATTATGAATAAGGCCACTAAAAACATTTGCATGCAGGTTTGTGTATGAATAAGTTTTCACTGCTCTTTGGTAAACACCTAGGGTTGGGAGTTCTGGGCCTTATGTTAAGTATGTATTTAATTTTCTAAGAAACGAGAAAACTTTTCCAAAATGACTATAAAATTTTGCATTCCTATCAGCAATTCATAAATGTATTAGGTGCTTACATCTTTATCAGCACTTGGTAATATCATTTTTATTTAAGCATTTTGATAGGTATGAAGTGTTATCTTCTGTGATTTCAAATTGCATTTCCCTAATATCTGATGATGTTAAACACCTAATTATGTGGTAATATGTCATATGTACATTTTCTTTTCTGAATTGTCTTTTCAATACATAGTTTTTCATTGGGTACTTTGTTTTTTATTAATCTTTGTATGTTCTTTATATATTTTGGATGTAAGATGGATTTTTTTGTGAGAAATATGTTTTTGGCTTGTAATTTTATTTTTTAACATTATCATTAACAGAACAGATATTTAAAGTTTGAGAGAGGCTTCCCTGGTGGTGCAGTGGTTAAGAATCCACCTGCCAATGCAGGGGACACGGGTTTGAGCCCTGGTCCGGGAAGATCCCATGTGCCAGTGGATAAACTAATCCCGTGTGCCACAACTACTGAGCCTGCGCTTTAGAGCCTGCAACCCGCAACTACTGAGCCCACACGCTGCAGGTTCTGAAGCCCATGCACTTAGACCCCGTCCTCCACAAGAGCAGCCACTGCAATGAGAAGTCCGTGCACCGCCGCGAAGAGTAGCCCCCGCTCGCCACAACTAGAGAAAGCCCGTGCAAAGCAGCGAAGACCTAACACTGCCAAAAATAAATAAATAAGTAAATAAATTTAAAATTTGATAAAGTACAATTTATTTTTTTTATAGATGATTATTTTTGTATTGCACTTAAGAAAGATTTTTCTCCTACATTTTCTTCTACAAGGTTTATAGTTTTAGGTTTTATATTTAGGTCTTTGGTCCATTTTGAATTAATAGCAATTATTTTTAATATTTTTATTTTTTATTTTTAAGAATTATTTTTGGACTAATGAAAAATAAGCCAAGTCTTATTTTGAAAAAAAAAAATGTTCTTTCAATGTCATATGATAATTTTCTTTTTGAAACTGTCTTTTTTTTTAAACTGCTGTTTTGCTAAATCCATAGTATCTCGTCAGATCTCCAGGACTTACTCATCTTGCATAACTGAAACTTTGCACCCTTTGACCAACATCTCCCCATATCTCCCTTCCCCCCAGTCCCTGGCAACCACCGTTCTACTCTCTGCTTCTATGAGTTTGACTGTTTTAGATTCTACATGTAAGTTAGACCATACATTATTTGTGTTTCTGTGTCTGGTTTATTTCATTTAGTATAATGTCCCACAGGTCCATCCACGTTGTTGCAAATGGCAGGATTTCCTTCTATTTTTAAAACTGAAAAATATTTCGTTGTATGTGTATACCACATTTATTTTTTTATCCGTTCATGAATATGTAGGTTGTTTCCATATCTTGACTATTGTGAATAATGCTGCAGTGAACATAGGAGTGCAGGTATCTCTTTGAGATCCTGATTTCAGTTCCTTTAAGTGAACATCCAGAAGGGAGATTGCTGGGTCATATGTTACTTCTGGTAACAATATTGTACTTTATACTTGAAATTTGCTAACTCTGTCTCTCTCACACACACAACAAGGTAACTATGTGAGGTGATGGATATGTTAATTAGCTTGATTGTGTTATTTCATTATGTATATGTAAATCAAATCATCAAGTTGTAAACTTTAAATATGTACAATAAAAAATAGTATTGGTTGAAATAGGTGAAGGGAATAAAGAGATACAAACCTCCAGTTATAAAATAAATAAGCCACAGGGGTGTAATATACAGCATAAGGAGAAAATGGTCGGTAACGTTGTAATAGCTTTGTATGGGGACAGTTGATTACTAGACTTATCATGGTGATCATCTCATAATATATGCAAATGTCAAATCACTGTGTAGCACAACTGAAACTAACATAACGTATGCCAACTGTATTTGAATTTTTAAAAATCACAATTTTTATAGCAAAAATAGTCACATTTATAATGTATTTTTTGTCTGTCAGGTGGCAACTTACGACTTTAGCATTCAAGTTCGAATTAATTTCTTCGCAGCTTCAGAACTTTACACTCAGTGTTGTTTGTCACACTCTCCTATGATTCCAAAAACAGCACCACTTATTCGACCATGTTACGTTCAAGCTACTGGTACGTAATATGAAATTGATGTGCATAAACCAAATATTTATGCTTAAGGAGCTAGAAGTTTAAAAAATTAAAGTTAACTTAAAAATTAAGTTTAAAAAATTAGAGCATGATACTTATTTTTTAAAAATAGAAATGTTAGTAAATTTACGATACGATTCTTGTGTGTTTGTGAGTCTGTGAGATTGAATTTTAATAAATAGCCTGGATATAATCTCACATGATTTACCTTTGCTTAAAAAAATAGGATAGGGTTTCCCTGGTGGCGCAGTGGTTGGAAGTCTGCCTGCCGATGCAGGGGACACGGGTTCCTGCCCCAGTCTGGGAGGATCCCACGTGCCGTGGAGCGGCTGGGTCTGTGAGCCATGGCTGCTGAGCCTGCGTGTCCGGAACCTGTGCTGCGCAGTGGGAGAGGCCACAACAGTGAGAGGCCCGCGTGCCGCAAAAAAAAAAAAAAAAAGGATATAGGGACTTGCCTGGTGGTCCAGTGGTTTAAGACTCTGTGCTCCCAATACAGGGGGCCCAGGTTTGATCCCTGGTCAGGGAACTAGATCCCGCATGCCTCAGCTAAGACCCCGTGCAGCCAAATAAATAAATATTTTTTGAAAAACAAGATATAATAAAAAACAAAGGTCAGGTTAGTACTTTGTTTATTGTGTGGGCAATTTAAATGATTAAATCAAAATAGAAATTATTAAAATAAAATACATTGGTTATAAAATAATGAAAATTTTATTTAAGGAAATGTTTTTCACCCCAAGGGGATGGGTTACTAAAGAACTAAGTACAAGTAAAGAAGGATAAGTATATTAAAATTTTGAATTATTTATTGAATATTTATTCATTTTCTCCAAGAGTTCAAGTATAAAACTGATGCCCTCTGTAAACCATACTTTTGACTGGCTTTGACTTTGCATAGTATTATATGTGCTTAAGTATTTTTCTTGAAAAGTTAAGTCTAGTTTATATTATACTATGTTTTTATGGTTCTGACATTAATTGTCTTTAATAATAAAATAGTGATCAGTTAATAATTGTACTTGGCACCTAGTAAGAGAAGCCTCATTAAAGTAACATATATAGTATAGAGATTTATTTCACTCCCATTTAAAATACAGAATTAGAATTTTCACTACTGGTGGAGAGGCTCCATGAAGTTAAAAATTTCTCCCTTGTTTTAAGATATCTTTTTAGGGAAAGAAAATAATTATTGTGTAATTTTTCTGAATTAGGTAAGTTATTTTAATGAAAAAGAAAATAAAATTCACAGATTTTTAAAAAATTAATGTATCATCATTAAGGAAAATTGGAAAGTGTAGAAACACAGAAAACATCATCTGGAATGTGAATATTTAGAGCATACTCTTACTAATATTTTGGTGTCTTACTCTTATTCTCTATTTTGCTTTTATTAGCTTATTTATAACATACTTGGGATCTTACTGCCTATGTTAAGTTGAAATCTGATTACTCAATCGAAACTTTTACTTGGATGCTGTAGACTCTTATTAATTATATAAATTAACACTGACAACTATTGTAGAGTATTTCATCCAGTAAGACACTCTTATAGATTACTTAAACATAATCACAAGCATAGGTTGTTTCCTTCTTTTATTTTCTTGTTAATGTAAATACTGTAGTAGTGAACACTTTTGTGTATAATACTTTTTCCCTATTTAGATTTTTTTGAAGGTGAGAGTCTCTGAATTGCCTGCATTTCTTCTAAAGTATGTATCAGTACATATTTGCAAAAGGGCTTTTGTAAAGAGGTGTGTCAGTGTCATTTCACCCCTCCTCCAGTGTCACCTCTAACCAGCATTGAATGAAAGAAATTGGATCTCTTTCTTTGTGATTAAAAGTTCTTCACTTCAATTTTCATTTTTTTGATTGCTCATGAGAATTAACATTTTGTATCTTTGCTGTTAATTATATATATGTTATATAAATTATCTGTTCATGAACCTTGCCTTTATCACTGAGGTTTTGTATTTATCCAATAGATGTCAGTGACCTCTTTATTGATATTTTTTTTTCATGTTTACTGTCAATGTTTTTTAAGATTTGTTGTTTGCCTTTAGTTTTATTCATTTTTCAATAGATCTTTTAAATAATTTTATGGTTAAATCTATCATTTCCTCTGTGATTTCCAACATTGCTTTAAAGATTAGATCGTCTTCCCCATCTACAGGATTGGTAAATATGTAATTCTGGTGTTTTCCCCTATTTTTTTTTTTTTTTTTGTGCGGTACGCGGGCCTCTCACAGGCTCCGGACGAGCAGGCTCAGTGGCCATGGCTCACGGGCCCAGCCGCTCCACGGCATTTGGGATCTTCCCAGACCGGGGCACGAACCCGTGTCCCCTGCATCGGCAGGTGGACCCTCAACCACTGAGCCACCAGGGAAGCCCTCCCCTATTTTTAATGGTTTAAAATTTATTCAGTAATTTTTATACTTACTTAATTTATAAAAATATTATTGTATTTACACCAACAGTTGAAACGTCAAAGCAGACTTAATTATATCATATAACTTATCAACACCAAAGTTTGCTAATGACTCAAATGATACAAGTAAAATGAGACAAAGATGTAATATTTCTTCCTGTAGAACTTGGCATCTTCCAACTTGTCCTTTGATCCCACTGTAGGATGCCTTTGGTTTTGAATTAACAGATGACTTTTGAATGATATTTGTAGAAACCTTGTTCTCAAAGGATGCCGTTTTTGTTTGGAGCTCTGCATTGTTTTTTAATCTTCATAGTTATACAGATAATGCCTATGTGATAAATACCCATTCTCCTACGAGCAATGCCCCATAAATCCCAGATATTTTTAATTGGCTATTTGGACAGATAATGCATGTCAAGTTTCTTCTTTGAATAAGGCCACTGGTCAATACCATTTTTATGTTTACAAGGAGGTATGATCAAATCCGTTACTCTCTCAGCCATCACCTCGGTAGGATGATGATACCTAAGTAGGAGCTCACAAGCCTGCTGTGATCTCTTTACTCCCAAATTACATGCGTTCATTTTTGAATTAAAATGTGCTAATCCAGAATTGCAATCCATTATCTGTCTCCTCCTTGAGGCTTATCCTGCACCCTAGAGGCAGTGATTTTCCTCGTTAATTATCTAATGAAAACACTTATTTGATGATAGGCAACTTGACTCACTGGAAACTCTAACTCCTCTTATCCATTTTCCTAATATAATTATACCTTTAATTTCAATTAAACTTTTTATCAGATTTAATTATTATGATGATGGATTGTACATTGTTTAGCCAAGTAATGTATCATGCATAGTTATTTTATTTCCTTTATTTCAACTTTTTTTTTTTTTCTGGAGTTAATAATTGCTTAATTGTCCTTAGGTATTTTACTAAATCCTCCCATGCTATAAAGCTCTATAATATGCTTGTCAGGACAGTATTCCACATAGTCTAGTCTGTCAGATAATATGTCTTCTTGTTCTCTTCAAGCAGCCCTGCTGGAGCACATCAACTTCCTGTTCCAACATGGACTAGATGCTTTCTTCCCCTGTGGCAGAGTTGGAGACTTGCCTTCATTCTACTTGTAGGGGTTCCTTTTGACTCTTTTTTACCTTGAATATCCCGTTTCTTCAAATTCCCACCTTCCTATTTCTTGGTTTACTTCATTGTACTGATAAATTACATCTTCCAGGAGCTTCCAAAGAAAGGGTGCAAGGGAGTTACCTTTTTAGAAAATCCATGTCTGAAAGTATCTTTGTTTTTCCTCCCACACTTGAATGATAGTTGAGTGTGGAATTCTAGATTCAAAATAATTTTCCCTCAAAAATTTGAAGGTGCTATCGTTATCTTCTAACTCCCATTGTTGCATTTAGAAGTCTAATGCCATTCTTCTTTCCCATCCATCATATATTACCCTCTGTTTTCCCTTTAGAAGGTTTTAGAAACTTTTTTATCCCTGTACTCCATTATTTCCCATTGATGACTTTGGTGTGAAGCTTTTATCTTTACCACTGTCCTAAGTTCTTGTGGAGCTTTTCACTCTAGAAGCTTATGTCTTTCAGTTCTATAAAGTTTTCCTAAATTGCTTCCTTGAAAAACTCCTTCCCATTATTTTCTTATTTCTTTCTCTGACTCATATTGGTTAGATTTTGTACCTCTTTGATTATATTATATATTTTAATTATCTTACATATTCTCCCTTATTATCCTTTTTCTCATCTTTTCATTTTATTTCCCAGGATATCTTTTTCTGACTTGACTATTTTATGTCTTAAAAAGTTATCTTGGTGATTTCAAACTGACAAGATTTTTGAACTTTTTTCTATTTCTTTACTTATAGACTTTTTTTTTAAATGAAAGCAACACTTTTTTTTTTTTTTTTTTTGTGGTACGTGGGCCTCTCACTGTTGTGGCCTCTCCTGTTGCGGAGCACAGGCTCCGGACGCGCAGGCTTAGCGGCCATGGCTCACGGGCCTAGCCGCTCCGCGGCATGTGGGATCTTCCCGACCGGGGCACGAACCCGTGTCCCCTGCATCGGCAGGCGGACTCTCAACCACTGCGCCACCAGGGAAGCCCGAAAGCAACACTTTTTATCTGTATGTTATAAATTATTTGAACTTCTGTTGACTACATTGTCTCAATTTTTGCTGAATCATTTTTCCTTTATTTCTGTCTCCCTCATGTTGAGGAGTTCCTTAAATGTCTGTTGATTCTTTCCTATTACGTTTCTTAGTGAGTCTCACAATGCTGACTTCAGCATCAACTATTACATCATTTCCTGACAATCTGGATGCCAATGAATGTTTTAATTTAGGGGGGGAACCAAAATATTAGTATGTGAGACTTTAATCTTGAGAAACAGTTTCTCCAGAAACTGTTTCTCTAATAACGTGTTGGGTAGAATGTAGCTTTATATAAATGAAATAGAGATATCTAAATGGTGTCATAATATGGCAAAACATTGCTTTGTTTTTAAAGATATAACCAATCTATTATTTCAGTGATTATC